GTTGAACTGAGCCTGGGAATGTTCAGCCCATTGATCAAGACGGAGTAACTGATTACGAATCAGTGTACCATGGGATCCCTTAATTATCTCACTTACGGCTATTTTCCTGGGGCCTGTATTCCTAATTAAACGGAAGAGAGTGCGACTATTACTGAAAACCGCAGCTTTCTCTATCTCTCTACACCTTTTTTATCACCAACGTTTCGCGATCATTTCTCAGACTCTTTATAAGCAGGCGTTTAAGAGATTTGCTGTGTCATTTGTAGCATCAGGAGAAAGGGTTCTGTGGGTCTCCAGCAGGGCAGCTGAGGTCGATATCCATCATTTGTGTTTTCATCCTGATTCAGATTTCGCTCTTGTATAGATATTTGCATAGCTTCCTTGCTTTATTTCTAGTGTTTATTGAGCTTTTCGACTGGTGGTTGAGCTGAAAGACAATCGAAGAGCTCCTCTTCGAAGGCCGACTTACTAAATCGCTGTTTTGTGAGCATCCTTTACTGGTGGCTTTATTGCAGTTGTTTGCCAGGCGTAAGGATAATTTGTTTCATATCAACATATGTAGACCAGTGAGAGTGGCAATCTTGCGTTGACATTCTTCAGCGGTAACTCGTGGCACTTAACAAAGTCAAACAGCAAAAGCGCTATTCAATGGGATTTATAAAGGGCTCGATCAATTCTCACCGAATTTACTTGGTGAAGCTTGGATTCGTTATGACCAATAAGTAGCACGAAACCGAGGTTATTGCAATAGGTGATTTCCATCATACGTCGAATGGAAATCATGCTTGCACTATACTATTTCGATTTCAAGTGAATCCGCTGCAACTTCAAGTGAATCTAACCAATCGCACTCCATTGAGAACCACACAAGATGATTGGTGTTTCGGCCGTCAAACGTCACCAATTGGATCGGGTCTAAACCCCATCCAGTTCGAATGAATTCAATCCCCCTAAACAAACAAAAGTACTTTTTGAGCGAGTTACCGAGCGAGGGTGTAAGTTTCTGTGGCGTAGGATGGGTTGTTATTCCCTCCTCGGCTCATCCGAGAACGTTATATTCATGCTCCTAGTGCTTTACCTACTGGCCAATTACAGCACACTATATAACTCAGGGAAATAACACAGTCTCCCTAGACAAATCCAGTCCAGTCGGTGACATTTGACGGCCGAAATACCAATCATCTTGTGCGGTTCTCAATGGAGTGCGATTGGTTGGATTCAATTGAAGTTGCAGTGGATTCATTTGAAGTTGAAAAGGTATACTATGGTAACCACAGAAAAACCCAATCCCTTCTAGGAGTCGATGACCTTTAGTTGATGAAGGAGCGGCAGTAAATGCGCGGCGAATCTTCACTGGTTCCATACACTATTTATATTGCGATTGAAACAAATTCAATTAGAATGGCATGCCAGCTTTTTTATTCGTATGTTATTCTAATAAAATAACCGAAATGAATGTAGTAAACAGGTTAGATATGAGCTTACCTCTTCGATTGCGTTGTATTGACGATAAAGGGCAAAAAACATTTCTCGAATCAGTTCCAAGTTTTCGATGTATCCCGATCGAGCCCATTTCATGATGGTACGAACGATCAAATCCCCTAGCGTGCCTGCATACCAAAAGTGGTAGAGGGATAGTTCCAAACCATCTTGATAACCACGTACAGTTAACATAGATAAAGTAAAATAATCATTACGAACGAAAGGAGTTTTACTAAATATTATTTTCAACTATGTAAGATAAAATAAAGCAGGATGACGAATCGCTTGGTGTTTTGTAGAACTTCACCGTAACACAAGTTTGGCGGACGGAATAATCAGGTCGGACGAAGGCGTCTTTTGGTCGGTTGGTACCAAAATTATAGTCTGTACTGATTATGTGAAGTTAACAAGTCAGACGACATTTGGGGACCTGATACAGCATTTTGGCGCATATGACTTGGAGTTTAAGCGTTTGACTGCAACCGATTCAATCA